ATCATCAATATACAAGTGGGTATATCTTAGAGTTGTTCTAGATATCCTTAACAATACGATTCATTAATTCATTATTTTCACTTTAACAATTCATGATCATCATTCAAAACGTTCATCATCATTAATTCATTATAATCAATAATCAAACAATTGTCATAATGCATAATAACAAATAGCGGCCTAGTCTCGAGTGTTAACACCCGAACTTACCGTCATGCATCACATAATGTGTATTTTTCACAAACATCATTTTTATTGTACAAAATCATATTTTTATGGTTTATAATTATTTGGTAACAGAATAGGATTTTAGAGCATATTTTCAATAATATTTTCAGAACAGGATCTAGAATTGAGGAAAATAATTTAAAATAATCATTTAATTTATAAAAATTGATTTATATAATTTTAAATAATCCATTAATTCATAATAATCGATTTTTACCATTTAAATAATCAATTAATTCATTATAATCGATTTTTACAATTTAAATAATCAATTAATTAATTTAATCGATTTTTACAATATAAATAATCGATTAATTCATAAAAAATCGATTTTTACAATTTAAATAATCCATTAATTCATAATAATCGATTTTTACAATTTAAATTATCAATTAATTAATTTTAATCGATTTTTACAATATAAATAATCGATTAATTAATAAAAAATCAATTTTTACAATTTAAATAATCCATTAATTCATAATAATCGATTTTTACAATTTAAATAATCAATTAATTCATAATAATCGATTTTTACAATTTAAATAATCAATTAATTCATAATAATCGATTTTTACAATATAAATAATCAATAAATTCATAATAATCGATTTTTATAACATAAATAATCGATTAAATGGTACTGACTTCGAACCACTAGTCTTAATAAAATTCTAATCGATTTTTAGTAAGTAAATAATCGATTTTCGGCTACTGTTCATCATCTTCTTCCTCGGGTCAGTTTCGAGTATTATGGTTTTAAAACACCAAACTTCAATTAAATTATGTAGAAATGTTCTCCAAGGTTCATAGATCATTTTAGGATCATCAAAATATATTTTTAACATCAAATTCAATGTTTATGATTCTTGGTTCTTCAAACACGTCGAACACAAAACTCAACCAAATGAACCTATATGAACGTAAACACAACCTATATGAACATTCTAGTCACTAGATATATCTACGGGCTTACCTCAAAGCTTATCGAACGTTTTGAGAATTTTCCGGCGAAACTTCCGGCGATGATTACTCCCCACTCCGGGGACTTCGGCGGCAACTAACAACACCAGCTTGCTCCCTTCACTCTTATGACTACAATGGTATAATTTTCCGGAAGATTGGTGCAGAATTGGTAAGGATGGAGTATCCTTATATAGAAGAAGAGAAGGGGAAGAGGACACTGGCTGACTCATTTCTGCGTATGAAAGTCGCGTAGTGGAGGAGGCTGCGCCGATCGGATATTTACACGATTCCTCCCTGATTGGGACAAATTTCGGTCCCAGTCGGGGTATTCTTTTTGGTCTAACTTTCTCCGAATTTAAATCCATTTGCACCGTTGCGATCAGACAGTCGAACTCTATCCAACGATATAATTTTTATATTCATTCGTTATACTTTTTCCGACACCACATTTTTTGGTGTTTGACTTTAACAGAGTAAAAATTGGTTTAATTGACCTTTCTCATAAAAGGTTCTCTCATTTAATTCATACCATTTGTTCTCATGATTTATTTCAATAAATCATTTTAAAGTTCATATTAAAATAATTTCTTTATTTATTCTTGATTTGGGTCTCTACTCATGTTCTCAATCAAGACCACACAAATACTCAACATATTGGATTTATCTCTATGAGACTTATCCTGATTTGTGATATTGGATGTCAAAACACATTTCATTTCGGCCCAAAGCCCAATAACTTTTTATTTTAATCGAAACAAATTTGACTAATTGAATATTTATTCATTAAAAATTTTAGGGTATGTTTTGGGGCGTTACATTTCTCCCCCCCTTAACGGAATTTCGTCCTCGAAATTCTTCTAAGGGTCAACGTTTAACATTTCGTAGTGATCTCATTTTATCATGACCGTGTCATGTTCATTTGGTTAAACCATATTTACGTCATTATCCAAATGGATGCGTATTCTCAAACTGTCGATGTTATCAAACTCGTTCTTTCTTCAAGAGATTAATAGGCAAGGCATCCAACAATCCATTTCATAGGTTCCCGCTCAGATTCAACAACCATAACTTAAGTTCCTTTGCAAGGTATAACATCGTATTTTGGAGCATATTTAACATATTTGCACATCACTTCGTTCATTCACAAGTCTCGATTGTACGTCATTACTCAACAACATTCCATCTTTGATTGAAAGTTCTTCAATAGCCTTTGTAGTTTCGAATCATCACCTTCACAATAGGTATAGTTCGGGATTTAGAGTTTGTTTCAAAACATCTTCACATCGTTCACATAGTCCATCAATGACTCGTAAATAACATTAAATGGCTTTCATCGGTTCAGAATATGGGATTTGTCATCATTTATAAGGAAGTACTTTCGATTGATTGTACAGTACCTTGTTATCATCGATTTACATCGAAACATTTCTTCATTCACTTCATGGTAGCGCTCATCTATCATTTAATGAGTCTTCGTATCCATAGGTGATGACGTTTGAGTTGCGTCTCATGTACGACTTGTCGTATTCAAACTTCTTCTATTAATTTGAAAACATATCTAGATATGATAGCGACATATTCGATATTAGCACTATGGCTGATCTCGTTTCGAGGGAAGAAAAAAAATATCTTCGGTATGTGATTCAATTCACGAATTCATAGAGTGAGGGATATTTACTAGTTCTTACACCAACATTGCATATAGGTTCAGGATTTTCGCTTGAATGATTCAGCTTTTCTTTGTGACGTCATTTCTTCTCTGGTTGTTGCATACACATTTCCTTGTCAGGGTTATAATGGAGTTTGCTTGGTCAATAAGATCATCGATAATGATCTTTAGAGATAACATAATTGTATTGATTGTTTTGTGGTCCACAAAGAGAGGTTCAACATAATGTTCAAGTCAAGGTAGTTTTACTATTGTAATCGAGTCACGTATTCCACAAGGTATAGTTTTCAAAGATCGGTATCATAAAACATCTTTTTGTTTAATGAAGAATCGTGGTTTTATTATTTTGATACAAAGAATGGAATTCAATCTTTTCAAGATTGATCAAGCGGGATGTTTCAAGGGTGTAGTTAACACATCAAGTTTGAGTAATTCAAGGATATGAGTCATAAGATATCAAGATAGCATTTGCAAATTACCGTTACTAATAGTAGGTTTTCTTCCTTCAATGTTTCACTCTTTGGAAGTTACTCAAGAGGTCGTTGTCTTAGGAAATAGCCGTTTTGACTTTTCGTCTCGGATTTGAACGTGTTTCAGCACAGCGAATCAAACTATTCAAGAGTCTCAATACGTCATATCTTCAGCATACTATAGTATTAGCGAGTACGTTCTCGTCTGCAGGTAATTTGAATCCATTTTACTGTACGTATTTTGGCTGGTGATAATTACTTTTCCATCAATGGTCAGGTTCTAGAGACTATATATATCACGATTATGGGAAGAGTATCTCACATTCTCACATTATGGAAGGAACTTCTCGAACACTTCCTTACACCATAAGATTCGTTGGTCTTCTTGGCAGTCATTCTCTTGGTAGAAATCCAAAGTTTATGGCTACTGCAGTAGATTTAGGAAGAGAATTGATAAGGCGAAGAATTAGTCTTGCTTATGGAGG